CCCACCCACCCAGTCCTCATGCCTCCAGCCATGTGGAATTACCTCCCCTGACTTTCAAGGCTCTACACTTGTAAAGCCCTCTCTTCACCCACCCTCCCATAACCAGTTCCTCCCAATTCTCCAGCCGCTGTGTGGCCACTGTCCCTTTCCCTCTGTAGGACATGGAAGCTCCTTGAAAAGCTGTCCCTACCAGCTGTCTCCAATTCTTCTCTGTTGAAGGAATTAGTCACTTTTCTCATTGCTGACAAGATATCTGACAATATCTACTTAAGGAAGAGTTTATTTTGGTTCATAATTTAAAGTACAGTCCATTATGATGGTGAAGATATGCCAGCAGAAGTTTGGAGTGGTTGGTCACATTGCATCAGCAATCAGGAAACAGAAACATGGATTCTGGTCCTTTGCTTTCTTTCTTCTTTCTATTCAGTCCAGGCCCTCAGTCCATCGAATGGTGTTGTCCACATATAGGTGGGTCTTCCCTACTCAATTAACCCAATCTAGAAACTCCCTCACAGACATGCCCAGAGGTTTGTCTCCTAGGTAATTCTAGATCCTGTCACATTGACAATTCATAATAACCATCACAGACTCCAACCCAGCTCCCATCCCCTCTGCCCTCACACACTATATGTTCACATTTATCAGCATCACCAACACAGCTGCCAACTAGAGATGTGCAGGCTGAGCATGCAGAAAGGGGACAAGGAGCCAGAATCCACCCACTCTCCTCTTACCATGCTGCAAGCCTGGCACAAGGCTGCATGTGCCAGGGGAAGGACACCACTTACTATACTCCAAAGTGGCTGGCCTAGGAATATCCAACTGGCCAGCCCCACCTGGAGTGACCATCATCTTCTACCAATTGTATAAAGGTGCTGAAGACTGACGATAGCCTGGGCCTCAGCAACAGTAACAATGACAACATCATGTCCACATCCAGTTGTGCAGATCTCATCCTCACTTTGGCAGTGTTTGGCACAGTCCTCTGTCTTTTCCAACAATTCCCTAGTCATGCCTCCTGATGTCTCAAATCTCTCAGACCCAATGCTGGGCCTTCTTCCATCCCCTACCCCTTGGTAGCATGATCCTACCTTCACAGCCAAGCTAAGTGCAGTGAGTCTCAGCACACGCCACCCTCCCCACCCAGATCAGACCCAGATACCCAGTGCTGGCTGAGGTCCCTGCCTTAAGTCAACTCAGTGGATGTACCTGTCCTCCTCCTGCCTTTCCATCTACCCAAGCCAGACTCTGGAAGCCAGCCTTGCCTTTCTCTCCACCACACATCCAATCCCTGAATAAGAGCTGACACATCCCACCTAGGCCACATGTTGACCACTTCTGGTCAGTTCCCCTGCCACCACCCTGGTCCAGCTACCTTCTCTCTTCAGACTGTCACTGTGATCTCCTAACTGGTCCCACCCCACTCCCAGAATTCCCACATCCTTGGTATGGAGCCACAGGGGTCCTGTAGAATGGACAGACCCGGGCTCAAAGTCATCCAGTGGCTGTGTGTGGCTCAGACCATCATACCATCTTCACACAGGCTCCAGAGTTCCCCACCACCTGACACATCGAAAGACATTCAGATAATGAAGCTGATGACTACAGATGCTAGAAAGGATTTTGAAGGAAAAAAAAAACCAAAAGCAGAGGTGTGCTGCTGGTCACTGGGGTGGGGGCAATTTCAGCAGCCTCAGGGAATACCTGGCTCAGGAGATTTCCCCAGGCTGGTCAGACATCTCTCCTGGTTCTGGTGGCTTCCCAGTCACAACGTCTATCTCCACATTGTGTGGACACAATGTGTACCACATGGTGAGGCCCTTTCTCTCTCTCTCTCTCTCTCTCTCTCTCTCTCTCTCTCTCTCTTGAGTCCCCAGAATCATCTTGAGCTGGAAAATATACAGTAGGCACCAAAAGGTGCAGAAATAATGAATGAGTGAGAGACCAGGGACTCTACTGGGGAAGCCACATGTGAGGAGCCTAGACTGAGCTGCAGGGGTTGAGGAGAGTCCTGGAAACCTCAGTGCATTGTCTGGAAGTACAGATGAAGTGGGGGTGCTCCCTAAGACTCCTGTGTCCACTAAAGAGGAAAGATTCTCCCCACTGGACAGGCCCTGGCTGGAAGGACCAGCAAGTGAGAAGTGCAAGATGGGGCAGCAGGGAAAGGTGGTTGCTGAGACTCCGGGCCTGCCCCCATCCTTCCTCTAACAAGTGCCCTGCCAGCCCTGAGCCAGATGGATGGACAAAGCCCTACAGGGAGTGCCAGGGACTTGCAGTGCCTAGAACCAGCAGGCCGTGGGCCCAGGGCACAGCAATGCATGGCCCAAAACTCCATCTGAGGGCCTTTGTGGGCCTCTGGGAGCCTGCCCAGGAGAGTACCGGGAACTGGCGATGGTGAGATGGGGTGGGCACCCCCTGCTTTCTGGAGTCCATCCAGGTCTGAACAATAGTGGATCCGGGGAGATCCCCCATCTGCCCTCCTTCCAAATCCCAACCTATGGGGACCCAACCCCATCACGTCCCAGAATTCTGAGCTTCAGGGACTTAGGCGCCACTCATTCCTGGGGGGGGATTAAAGGGGTTCGGCTGAGCCAGGCAGAATCTGGCTTAGGACCAAACCTCCCAGCACCCCCCAGCGCCCTCCTCAAGAAGCGAGCAGGGCAAGGTTTTTCAAAAGCGAAGGGACACCTGACACGTCGGTTCTTGCCCAGGTTGGCTGTGCCAGGACCAAGGTTCCAAGGAGGGCGAGCTGGGGCTGAGGGAGCCCGGCCAGGCGTGGGCAGCTCTCTGCCCCCCTCTGCTGGCCATATGTTGAATTACAGAGCATCCTCTTGATCCGGCCAGGCACCTATCCAGGGTACTCAGGGAAAAGCAGCCCGCCTCGCTCGCACAGAAAGAGCAGATGCACGTCCTAGCAGCCATCGCTCTGCCTCAGTACGAGGCCTGGCCGTGTCCGACGTCCACCAGCGGACGCCTATACGTCGTGACGCTTGCTCCGTCTGGAAATCCTTATCCAGTCCAACCTGAATATTTCAACTTCGCCCAGGCTGATTCTGAAGTTCATGCTCTTTCACCACATGGACGGAAAACGGAGATGCGTCTATCTCTTGGTGACCGAGGCCTTCTCGTCCATGAGCCAACGAGTACAGAGCACTTCACCCCGCGCCCCGCTGCATCAGGCACCCAACTCTCAGCGCCAGGCAAAGATGAGTTCAGCAATGAGGGCTCTTTGGGGGTTGGGCCGCCACCTGCTGGTGAACATAAAAACTGCAATTGCCCCACCAGGCAGAAGCGGGACCACAGAAAACACCAGGCAAGAT